CACTGATAAACTGGTGACAATAGATACTGCCATATGAGATCAATGATTGTAATAATATAACTCTAGATATGGGAAGAAGCAACAAGAAGGAATATTTTCCTGGACCAAGAGGCTATTAAGACAGGTATGGTCCAGAGACTTTTGCTATTCACAGGGCCTAGTCCAATAACAGATGTTGAGTGACCTATCAATGGAATCTCTGCTAGACCTGGAAATGAGCCTTTCCAGCCCCATGGGACACAATGGCCATGAAATGCCCCCAAAGCATGGTCAAATCTGTGGCTATGAAGGGGCCTGGCAACTGAAAACTGGCACTTGAAGACTGCCTGCACAAAGATTAAATCATGGCCACTACAACTGCCGAACTTCAACACCCCTTGAAAAGAATTCAGGGTGGCTCTCAGAAATGAGGCACTCAATCCGTGCTCTGGGAAAAATGGACAAAGCAGGCCTTTAGATAGTCAGATGTTTGCAGGTAAAGATGTGTTCTTTTTTATGAGCCCACATTCTTCCATCTTCTCATACCTACAGAAACACTAACATCATGTGCCAAAGTCAGGTTCCAATTCTCCTGTCTAGACTTTCTCCTAGGCACCCCGACAGCTCTTCTCTACTTTTATGCATCTTTAGTCCTCTTGTTAAGTTTGTTTCTTGGAGAATGAAGCAAATGGATCTCCAAATGGTAACACAAAAATATCACCTGGCCAACAGCCAAGTGTTCACCTGCCCTGCTGTTGGCCCACAGAAGCATAAAATCATACAGTCTTGCAAAGGTGGTTAAATTATCTAGACTTTGATAACTGCACCCTTGTACTGACAGACTGTGGCAAGACTACAGAAGGACCACTGTATGGACCAACTTCTCAACTTTGAGAACTGTTTATTGGAACACTCCATCAATTACTGTGAATGGACTGTTTTCACTAAAACCTACAATATGTTCTATACTGTTACTTATAGAGTTAATTAGACTGGTTGTGTTATTTTGCCTTGTTCCAATGTTCTTCAGCCTTAACAATCCTGGGGTGGACTGTTAGGGAACTGTACAAAAATAGTCTTGTTTAGGCTTCACAGACAAAGCAGAACAGCCTCTGACCTTGCTTCTAACCTGACTGGACACTGCCCTGACTGGGAGTGACTGCCTACTGTGAGTGCAAGACTTGCAGCACCATAGATAAGATGGGGGAGAAATCTTGAGATTGTTGAGCCCCTGGAGGGGGGCCTGGCCAACCAAGCCCCAGGCTTAGTCATATTCCAAGTTTTACAAGACAAAAAACAAACAGCATTAAAGGGAAGCCAGGCTTGCAGTCTGGTTACAGATTGACCATGATGTCAGTTTGCCTTCACCCTGGGATTATAAACAGGAACCCCAAATAGCAATCTTTGAAGTCTCACCCACATAGTGGACTCACTGCCTGGGACCCTTTCCGAATTGGGACTCCAAACGTGCTGTGACACAAATGGACTTCCCAGCAATGATTAAGGCTAGATGTTGCTCAAAAACCCAATTTAGTGATGCGTTCTCTGCTCTATTTCTCTTTTCTTTTAATGTTAGTACGTTGAAAGTAAGCTAGATAATTCTCTAATAAATATATTATTTATTTGTATATAACAAGTGGCTTGTTTTGTTAACAAACCCTTTGAACCTGAGATGAAGGTGAAAACTTTCAGCAAAAGGGCAAGCAACAGACCTAAGGAGTGAAGTATGTATTGTTTCCACTGCTTGTTTTCATCAGGTGAGCCCTTAGTGGGTTAAAGGGAGAACAGACAGTTTGCAAATTTAGCAGGAGCAGCACTGACATCCAAAAGTATGAAGTTTGCTGAGAACTCGTGCTGCAGAAGGTAGCAGAAGGCAGCTTGGTAGGTTAGAGGGTTCTGGAGTTGAAGACTATTTACAGCCAAGCATGGTAGTTGGCACAGTGGAGAATTTGGGCTGAACGACAAACTTCAGAGGATCCTGAAGTGACTGGGTGAAGAATAAGACACAAGAGTACTGACTGCTGGAGGAAAGAGGAGGTAGTCAGAGCTCAGCCTGGAGAGAAGTCTGTCTGCACATGAGATTTCATCCTTGGCCTTGCGAGGTAGTGTTCTAACTGATGATCGGTTGGAACACTTCGCAGTGACTGTGTTTGAGAATGAACGAGGAACTGATGTGCAAGAGGTCTGCAGTAAATATAAGGGAAATGGAAAGTCCTGAACTCAGGTTCCCAAGTCATTCATTTGTTCATGCAACAGATATGCACTCAACAGTTATGAGCTGATAAATGGCTCTGGTATTTCGATTGTAAGCAGAATCAAGAGGTTTGCCCCCGATGGCCCTCACAGTGTCACGCAGAAGGCAGATGTTAAATGCAGGTAAACCAGGTCAGACTACCTTCCGTGAAGGAAAACACCACATTCGGAGAGAGAATCATGTCTTAAAAATATTAGTAGATTGAGGAATGAGGGAAATTCTCTCCCAGGAAGAGGCATTTCAACTGGATCCAGAAGAAGCAGGTTTTAGCGAGGAAGTGATTGTGGGCAGAGAGCATTCTAGTTGGAGGAAACAGCATGTGCAAAGGCCCTGAGTCATGAAAGAGGGTGGGATGCTCAGGGACCTGATCATTACCAAAGGCCAGTGTGGCTGAAACTTAGTGAGCAGGCAAAGGGCGACACCAGGTGAGATTTTTAAGCATGTCGGGGAGGTAGTGGCACGTTTGTGTTCTAACAATCACCCTGGCTGCTATGAATGCAGCACCCTGAAAGCATCCCTCTGTGGGGCTGGCCTACTGCATGCTGCGACATATGTGTCATCTGCAGTCATAAATACTCCTTCATTCAACACATGTGTTCTGAGTTTATCCTGTGTGTTAGGTGCTGGGCAACAAACAATAAACACAGTCCTTTCCCTGATGGCCTTCAGGCAAGTGTGGAAGCCAAGTATAGATACACAGTCACAGAAATGTCATAAAATGACACATTGTGATAATACTGCAAAGGGACAGTCCACAGTGCTGTGCGGGAGCAGGGGTCGTCCTGGTGACCTGGGGAAAGACGGCCCTCTGAGGTCCCCTGGAGGCTGCAATGCAAAGGATGCCTTGGAGGTGGCAAGGTGAAGAATGGTACTGGGATGTCCCATGCAGAGGGGCCAGCAAGTGCAAAGGCTCTGGGACAGGCAGGACTGTTGAAGGTAGGAACAGAAGAAGATGGGACAGGGAGGAGGTGGGGCTGAGAAGAAGGGGAGACAGGTAGGACCACGAGGAAGGTGGGAGCAGAGGAGAAGGTAGGAACAGAAGAAGAAGAAGGAGAAGGCTGTGGGGCCAGGCAGAAGGGGGGTCACCTTAAGCACAGGGAGGAGAGGCCTGAGGAACCTGGAGAAGTAAGTTCCATGTAGTCCCCGCCTAGAAGGTCATGTTGAGGTTTTAGACCCTGATCTTTCTGGTTGGGAAGCAGTTAAAGGTTTTAACCAGGAGTGGCTGTACCTAAATGATGTGGTGAAAAGATTACTCCATGGACAGTGAGAATAGAATAGCTGGGCCAGAACTAAAGAGAGAAAAATGGGTAAGAGGCTGCTGCCTATTGCCTCGGTCTTAAGGGGTGAAGACGAAGATGGAGAGAAGGATACCATTTTGTGTAACATTTTGGATGGAACATTGAGAGATTTTGGTAGTAGACTGGCTGTGGGTGATAAGGGGTGACTTCACAACGCAGAGTACTAACCACTATAGGATCACGGTGTGCTACCTTCGCGGCGGCAAGGGGTGACTTCAAAGCTCTGCATGAGAAGCTGGAGAGATGGCGGTCCCTAAAATGGGACAGGAAGTGGAAGGAGGAGCAGGTTTGCTGGGAAACCAACATGCTCCCCAAGAGCTCAAACACTGAGGCGGGGACACAAGGCGAGCATGCCAGGCTCTCACGGATCTTCTGTAAGGCAGGTGGGTGGTCCACTATATAATTATGTATTTAATAAAAACACTTAAATTATCCATTACTGTAGAGTTGGGAAAGAAATGTCACTGCACCTAAAGATAAGATTCAGAGACCCTGTGAGCCATTTCCAGGCTCATCTCTCAGATCACACATCTACTGTGTCTATATTTGCCAAAAAGGAACAAATTTTCTAGGGTTAGATAGAATGAATCCAAGTCATATTGCTTTAAAAAAAAAAGAAAAGTCACCGTGGCCCAGGGGTTAGGACTCTGCACTTCCACCGCAAGGGGCAGAGGTGAGAAACTAAGCTGCCGTAAGCCTTGCAGCGGAGTCCCCCAAAAAAGCCAAATAATATGAATTGTTTCTATAGTAGTAATTCCCACCTTTGATTCTATGTGGATATGAAAATTTCCATTATCATGCAGGTGAGAATACGGCTATGTGTATTCATATACAATAATAGTTATTTAACTTCCATTCCTACTCAGCACCAAGAATCTTAACAACCACTTTCGGGCTAACCATGAGAATTACATGAAGAATGTCACAGTCTAGGTCCAGCACACAAGAGCTACCCAATAAAAGTTGTTTTTCCTTTGTTATAACACAAAAACCCACACTGCAAAACCGAACAGAACGCACCGCGGGGTCCCATCAACGCCCACCTTTTCCAGACCTGCCTTCTAGACCTCAAGGTGCACACGCTGTCGACCAAAAGGAGAATGACTGAATCCAACGGAAGATCGGGCGTGCGTCCATCCCGAGTTGGGCTGCGTGAGAGCTGTCCTGCCGCTCAGCCTGAGCTTGGACCGAGGCCTGGACAGCGGTGGGGCTGAAGCCGGACCGGGGCCCGCAACCGCCCCAGTGCGAGGCTCCCTGGGGCACTGTGGCTGCACCGCGGAGGCAAATGTCCCCTGGCGGCCACCGTAGCCCTGAGGCCAGCAGTGCGCTCCTATTTTGGCGCCAAAACGGGGCGGAGGCGGGGTCGGCACTGCGCTCCTGGGAACAATAGGAGCAAAAGCCATAGGAACAGTGAGTGAGGCGGCCGTTAGGGTGAGAGCCGGTGGTCCAAAGGGCCCGGCGCCTGGGCCATGTTCTGCGAGAAGGCCATGGAGCTGGTCCGGGAGCTGCACCGCGCGGCTGAGGGAAGGCTGCCTGCTTTCAACGTGAGGGCGGGGTCCTCCCCAGGGCGCTTCTCTGGGGCTACACAACCCAGAGCGGGATGGGGGTGTGCCTATGGTTCTCCTCCGTGGATATGGGAAGGTCGTGGGCAGGTCGGTTTTGGTGGCTTCCCGCGAGAGCGGGGATTGCCGCCACTCTCCTCGCTTCTCGCGGCCGCCGCCGCCCGGCGTGCTCGCAGCTGCTGTGCCGCGCGGGCTGGGCGGTGGGCGTCTGGCCCCGGTGAGGCGCAGAGAGACCGGGAGACAGGGTGCTGGAGCTCAGGTGTGAGTTATACCGAGGAGGTGTGAACCGGGGTAGCCCCGGCGTTAGGGCCGTGCCCTGAGGGCTGCGGTGAGTGTAGCCCCACCGGAGAGCCGGCCGTGCAAACACCCCTCCCCGCCGGGGAAGGGCGGGCTCCGGAGCCCGGAGGTTTGCTCGTCTCTGCAAGGCATTTCAGAGGAGCGACGGGATCACTCTGTGTTTTGATAGCTGTCGCAGCACTTTGGGGAATGGACCGGATAGAAGAAAGACTGGTTCTGAGTGGGTTATCAATAGACCACAGAAGCGATGGATGTGGTCCACAGCCCGGTCGGGGGCCCCTGAACACCGTGTCCTAAGACGACAGGACTGGTAGGTAGGAGAACGGGGGTGGAGGTGAGAGGAGTCGCCGGGGAGTGGAGAGACCGGCGTCTCTGGAGGCTTCACTCAGGTAGCAGAGTAAACATCTGGCGGTCAGCCGGAAGAGCGTCTGGGTAAGGTGAGTTTTGAACATTCAAGAGGAGTTAGTCTGACACTTGGGATATTTAACAGATGGGGAAACTGAGCTGCTGGAATTAAGGATCAAGTTAAAGGGCTTGTCTGAACTTGCAGCGTGTTGGAAGTGGAGCCTCAATTTGAACAGTTTTCTTCGATTCCAGTCTGTTATTCTTGCAACTTCAGGCAGTTACCTTATCTCAAAAGTTAGGAGACCACAGCGGGAGGTTCACTGGAGACACAGAACTCAAGAGTTGTTGGTGCTGTTGTTCAGTCCATAAGTCATGCCCCAGTATTTGTGACCCCGTGGACAGCAGCAGGCCAGGCTTCCCTGTCCTTCACTGTCTCCCTGACTTTGCCCAAATTTATGTCCATTGGGTCAGTGATATCATCCAGTCGTTTCACCCTCTGTAGCCCCCTTCTCCTTTGTCCTACCCTCAATTTTTCCCAGCATCAGGGTCTTTTCCAGTGAATCAGCTCTTTACATTAGGTGGCCAAAGTATTGGAGCTTCAGCATCAGCATTATTCCTTCCAAGGAATATTCAAGGTTGATTTCCTTTAGGATTGACTGGTTTGATTTCCTTGCTGTCCAAGGGGCTATCAAGAGTCTTCTCTAACACCAAAGTTCAAAAGCATCAGTTCTTCGGTGCTCAGCCTTCTTTATGATCCAGCTGTCATATCCGTACATGACTACTGGAAAAACTGTAGCTTTGACAGTAGGACCCTTTGTCTGGAAAGTGGTATCTCTGCTTTTTAAATGCTCTCTAGGCTTGTGATAGCTTTTCTCCCAAGGAGTAATGGTCTTTTAATTTCATGGCTGCAGTCACCATCTGCAGTGATTTAGGAGCCCAAGAAAATATATTCTGCCCATGATTCCATTTTTTCCCCATCTATTTGCCATGAAGTGATGGGACCGGATACCATGATCTTAGTTTTTTGAATGCTGAGTTTTAAGCCAGATGTTTGAGAGGGATGGAGGCTTTCCAATATGGCCCCACTAGAGTGGGAAGACTAAGTTACATGGGAAGAAACTAGCCCAAAGGCACAGGCAGATACTGCCCAAGGGGCTGGCTTTTCAGACTGTTAGTCCAGCTGTCTTTTTCGCTTGGGTTTTAAGTGTTGGTTTCTTAGAAGTGTAAAATCCTGGCTTTTCTGGGTCTTAGAGGGTGTAGGTGCACCTTTTCTTGCAGTAGTGCCTGCCTTTAGGGGCTGGCCCCTGGGACAGCTGAGCTGGGTTAGACTAAGAATTGATCTTGATCTGATTGACCCCTCACACCCTTGACCCACACATGCTTTCGAGAATCATTCCTCCCCAGCAGATGGTAGCTGGTTTAGAGCAGGGATTCTGCCTTGTTCATTCCAGAATCCCTCATGGTTAGGTGCTGTGTTTGGCAAATTGGAATGATGCACTTTGGATATGCAGAACTGATAATCATTTGAGTCTTTAGGAAAATTATCTTGAGTTCCCAGGGGCTTACAGCTGGAGGTGGGAGCACAAAATGATGCACTTCCCAGTGTAAATTTTAAAAATCGAAGTCTTAAAACAGTAAATAAAAGTTTAAATCTGAAAATTTGGTTGTATCTTTACAAGTTTGTTTCATTCTTGTTTTTTGTATACCTACTGATCTCCTAATTGTGCAAGAGTTTCAACTGTTCCTTAATATTTGTGATAAAAGGAATATTTAACTGAATTCTAGCAAATCAGACTTTTCCATATCTTTGTAACCAGTTGATGAAAAAGAAAGTAGAAGTCATGCTTTCATTTTTCATTAGAGATGATTTCTTATATTCAAGCAGGATTAAGTAGTGTAATTTTGTAATTATACCAGTAGTGATAAAACATTTTTGCTAATGCATATATTGTAGCTCTGAAAGTCGATGGGTTGCTTATCATTGTTTTGTTTTGAGGTTTTGTGGGTTTTTTTTTTTTTTGGTCGTCAGTGTTATAGCATTATTGGGTTCTTTTTTTTAAAAATTTTAATTGAAATATAGTTTATTTACAGTGTTTCAGGTGTAGGGGTTGCTTTTTGACAGACATTGTATAACATTTATGAATTTTAGAAATATAATATTTTTATCCCTCCAAGGGAACTTTTTTAGAAATTTGCCCAAGTAAATAGCAGAAAGACTCATTTGACCTTTCTGTTTTTATCTTGGCAGTGTATAGGTGTTTTTTTTTTTTTTTTTTGGTAGTAACCTTTTAAGATCCTTTTCCAATAAATAATGTTATTTATATACTTGTGTCATGTGTTATTACTTCTGTAGACTATTGGTTTTTTGTCATTAGTTTTATTGAGGTATAATATATATACAACACAGTTCACATTTTAATAGACGTTTGAGTTTTGACAAATGTATACAATCCTTATAACCAGCAACCTAACCAAGATATCTGCTATCCCACAGATTCCCTTTTCTCTTTTGTGGCACTGGCTACCTCCCATCTGCAGCCCTAGGCAACCAAGGATTTTCTTTCCCCTACAGATTATATTTGTCTTTTTTATTGTATTTCTGGAGTCAGCATGCCAGGAATTGCAGACTTTTCTGTATGGGGCCAGTTAGAAGCATACAGTATGTACTCTGTCTGACTTCTCAACACAGTGTATTTAAGATTATCCTTAATTAGTATGTTAATTGTGTATTTTGTTGGCATTTCACTCCTTTTTTTTTTAAATTGTGGTAAACGATACATAACTTAAACTTTGCCATTTCTAACCACTTTTGTGTGTACACTTCAGTGGCATTAATTATATTCTCATTGTTGTGCAACCATCACCCGTATTTCCAAAGCTTTTTGATAACCCCAAGTAAACTCTATAGCCTTTAAGCAGTAACTCCCCACTCCTCTTCCCCCTCAGCCTGGTAACCTCTAATCTGCTTTGTTTCTATGCCTATTCTAGACATTTCAGATAAGTGGAATCATACAATATTTGTCCTTTTCTGTCTGGCTTATTTCACTAAGCAGTGTTTTCAAAGTTCATGTTGCTGTATGTATCAGCACTTCTTTTTTTGACTGAGTAATATTCTGTTAAATGGACATACCATTTTGGCTTATCTGTTCATCAGTTGGACATTTGGATTGTTTCCACTTTTTGGCTGTTATGAGTAATCCTACTCTGCATATTTGTTCATAAGTTTTTGTATGAACTTAGGTTTGCAGTTTTCTTGAGTGTATTCCTAGAAGAGGAATTGCTGGATAATATGGTAATTCTAAATTTAACTTTTTGTGGACCCACACGACTGTTTTCTATAGGGCTCTACCATTTTGCATGCCTACCTGCATTGTACAAGGGTTCCAGTTTCTCCCCATCCTCTCCAACACTTGTTATTACAGCCATCTTGGTTTTTCCTAAGGTACATAAGCATAGAGTATTGCTACAAACTTGGTGGGGGAATTAATGAGTGTAATTTTATATGTTCCAGGAAGATGGACTGAGGCAAGTTCTGGAGGAGATGAAAGCTTTATATGAGCAAAACCAATCTGATGTGTAAGTTGGTAAGCTTGATATTTTAAAACAATTTAAGAAGTACAATGTTGAAGTCAGATCATCTTAATATTAGTTTTTAGATATGATTTGGTTTTCTTAATTCTCTGTGACCCTGATCATACCCTGGCTATACAGAAGTAGAAGGATTTGTGTTCATGATTGTTATGTCTATAGGGACCGAGTAGCGCTTGGCACATGGTAAGTGTTCGGTAAATACTTATTGTTTGACTGGTATGACTTGAAAGGATTTAGGGTGGATCCAAAAGAGGTGAGACAGGAACAAGTAACAGACACAATGAGTGAAGTGCATTGTTTCCATCAGGTGAGGCCTTAGTGGTTTAAAGGCAGAACAGGTAGTTTGCAAATTGAGCAGGAGTAGTAGTGACTTCCAAAAACTTAAGTGAAGTTCACTGGGAACTTGTGCTGCAGGACGATACAGCTTGGTGAGTTAGAGGGTTCTGGAGTTGCAGAGTATTTAGAGCCAAGCATGGTAGTTGGCACAGTGGATGATCTGGAGTGAAAAACAGACTTCAGAGGATCCTGTGACTGGGTGAAGAATAAGACTTAAGACTACTGACTGCTGGAGGAAAAATGAGTTACTGAGAGCTCAACCAGGAGAGAAGTCTGTCTGCACATGAGATTTCATCCTTGGCCTTGTTAGGTAGTGTTTCCATCGGTTAGTTGGACATAGAAATCAGTAGCATGTTGTTAGGGTTTGTGGAGCTCACAGAACACTTTGCAGTGACGGTGTTTGAGGATAGATACCGATGAACGAGGAACTGCTGTGCAGGAGGTCAGCAGTAAGGGAAATGGAAAGTTCTGAACTCAGGTTCCCAAGTCATTCATTTGTTCATGCAACAGGTATGCCCTGAGCTGAAAAAGGGCTCTGGTGTCTCAATTATAAACAGCAGAATCAAGAGGTCTGCCCCCGTGGCCCTCAGTGTCAGGCAGAAGACAGATGTTCAATGCAGGTAAACCAGGTCAGACTACCTACTGTGAAGGGTAACACAGCACTCGGAGAGAGAGTAATACACTGAAAATATGAGTAGATTGAGAAATCCTGGAAATTGTCTCTGAGGAAGAGACACTTCAGCTGGAGCCTGAAGAAGTAGGTTTTAGCGAGGAACTAATTGTGGGCACAGAGCATTTCTAATTGGCGGAAACAGCATGTGCAAAGGCCTTGAGGCATGAAAGAGGGCGGGATGCTCAGGGACCTGATCATTACCAAAGGCCAGTGTGGCTGAAACTTAGTGAGCAGGCAGAGGGCAACAACCAGATGACATTTTTAAGCATGTGGGGGAGGTGGTGGCACGTTTGTGTTCTCACGGCTGCCATGTGGATAGTGGATGGTGGGACTGAGGGAATATGGTGGTCATGCAGGTGACAGGAAGGGTGAGCCAGACTAGGGGCAAAGAGAACAGGTTACAGACCTATTTAGGAGGTAACTGAACAGGCCTTGGTCCAGTAAAGGAATGATTTTCCTGTATTCCTACCATTGGGAAATTCAGGATCCACAATTCTGTGCCCTATCCTCCTAGTTTGGTTCTGGGCAGGACAGTCACTATTACCAGTTTCTGGTTAAAATTCTTTGTCAGAAGAAATCTATCCCTATTTAATTGCTCACATGGAAATGTGAATTTTTTAAGGAAGTTCTTGGGTATTTAATCAAGTACTTTGATGTTAAGTTGGGTGTGTCTTATTTGTGCTATTTCATTATAATCAAGAGCACATTGTAAACAATGTGGAGAATAAATCTAACATTTGTAGAATGGCAGGAGTGTCTGGAAGAGATCTAGAAGACGTGGTACCTCTACGTACATGGTACAGATCTAGAAGACATGGGAAATATATTTTGCCTTTATTTTCAGGGCCTATAGCAGGCACAAACATTTTGTATTTCTCTGTTGCCTTTTAAAACTCCATAGTAGATACTGATTAGTTCTATACATATGGTTTTGTTTTGTTTTCCTCTTTTTTTTTCAATTGTGGTTAAGATACACACCAGTGATAGCTCAGTGGTAAAGAATCTGCCTGCCAGTGCAGGAGATGTGCATTAATCCCTGGGTCAGGAAGATCCCCTCGAGAAGGAAATGGCAACCCACCCCACCCCGGTTTTCTTGCCTGGAAAATTCCACGGACAGAGGAGCCTGGCAGGCTACAATCCATGGCGTCAGAAAGATGGACACTACTAAGTGACTGAGCACACATACTGTTGAGTGTATTCAAAACATTTATAATGTCATATCGCCATCACCACCACCACCTTCTCCAGAACTCTTCATTTTACATAACTGATACATAACTGGTACATACATACCCAGTAAACAATTGTACATGTGATTGGAAAAGTTGATACTTGTCTAATATCTAAGGAGACATATATTTTATAAGGTAAAGCCAAAATTTTCTCCCTCTTTGTGTGAAGGACCCTAAAGTGCAAACACAGTTGAAGATCAAGAACTATTCCTTGAATGAGTTGGAGGAGCATTTGACTTTAGAGTCCTTAGCTCACTCTATGAGAATGAGGATTTGGAAGTATTGATACCATAGAAAGAGGACTCCGTAGGATGAGAACATGAGGTGTGGCCATAATCTTATGCCCCATGATATTTGATCTCTTGTCCCAGCATGAAAAAGGGATTCTTTTTAGTGAGGCAAAATGTTGTCATTTGGAGACAATGGATATTAACCAGTGTGCAAAACGCAGTGTGCCACATGGCTAAACAAAGCAATGGGAGTGTGATCCTAGGCAAATTAGTTAGGTGTTTTTAAGTTTTTTTTAAAAGAATTTAAGTTTGTCCACACAGCTTGCAGGATCTTAGTTCCCTGACCAGAGATTGAACCTGTGCCCTCGGCAATGAAAGTGCAGTGTCTTAACCACTGGACCACCAGGGAATTCCCTGGCTCTTTTCTATTTTATTCTGTTAGCAAAAGCTCCGATGTGGAGGCAGGTACTATTTAGGTAGGTTAACTACTAACATAAATGGCTAAAAACAAGTATGGAGTCAGTGGTTAGCTGACTTTGAAAATTTAACCTGTACTCAATAGACATTCTTTTTCTGAAATGTTTTACCAGGAATGAAGCAAAGTCAAGTGGACGAGGTGATCTGATACCAACCATCAAGTTTCGACACTGTTCTTTGCTGAGAAATCGGCGTTGTGCTGTAGCCTACCTGTGAGCATCTCTGTCTGTGGGGTGGCGGGGAGCGTGGGAGGTTCCCATCCCAGTGGGTGTCAGAAATTCTTCGAGTTGTCTCTCTTTCATGAGCATTCTGAAGTTTCTCTTTTTTTTTACTTAAACATTTTTTATTATGGAAAATGACAGTATTCTTAAAACTAGGGAATAATATTACAACCCCCTGTGGAGCCATCATATAGGTCAAACAGTTCTTAACATTTTGCCATAATTGCTTCATCTTTTTTTATGCTAAACATTAGACATTTTACCACTGAATGGTTTCGTATGCATCTTTAAGAAATAAGGGCCTTTGGGGCCTTTTCTCACATGACCACGGTATAGTTCTCATACCTGGAGCAGTGAACATACCTTCACAGCATCCATCCAGTCTGTTCCTATTTTCCATGTTGTCCCAAAGGTGTCATCTTACAGTGGTTTGTTTGCCTCTGGAATCAAATCAAAGTCCACATGTTACCTTCTGGTGGTTGAGTCTTGAGTCTCTCCTGATCAAGACAACTTCTGATCCAATACTATATTGATGTTCTAGGTATGACCGGCTGCTTCGGATTAGAGCACTCAGGTGGGAATATGGCAGTGTCTTGCCAAGTGCTTTACGATTTCACATGTCTGCTGAAGAAGTAAGTTAGCACTCTTGTTCAAATTTGTAAATTCAGAAACTGGCTGAGCTTCTGGCATTGTTTGTGGTGGTGGTGGTTTAGTCGCTAAGTCATGTCCGACTCTTGCAATCCCATGGACTGTAGCCTGCCAGCTTCCTCTGTCCATGAGGATTCTCTAGGCAAGAATACTGGAGTGGGTTGCCAGTTCCTTCTCCAGGGGGCCTTCCCAACCCATGGATTGAAGCCGGGTCTCCTGCATTGCAGGCAGATTGTTTACCAACTGAGCTATGAGGGAAGCCCCATGGCATTCTTTTGTAATAGTATTTATGGTACTTGTCTTTTTGTTTTAACATTTGCTCTTCAGTAGTTTTTGGTCTGTTTGAGAATGGTAGGAATAATTCCAAATGCTGTATGGAAAACTACTATTACTTAACAAAATAAAGGGTCCCGTTATGTTAGCTGCTAGTGATGCATCAGTAGGATTCAAAACTGGCATTATTATTTGGAAGTTCTTCATAAAATATGTGTGTACATGCTTTGCTTTAGGCTTCCCAGGTGGCGCTTGTGGTAAAGAGCTTGCCTGCCAGTGCAGGAGACATAAGTGATGTGAGTTCGATCCTTGGGTCGGGAAGATCCCTTGGAGGAGGGCTTGGCAACCCACTCCAGTATTCTTGCCTGGATGATCCCATGGATGGGGGACCTTGGCAGGCTACAGTCCATAGGGTTACAGAGAATTGGACATGGCTGAAGAGACTCAGCACGCACACACATACTCTGCTTATCTTTGAATGTGTGATGAATTCTTGATTTATCCAGTCACTGAGGCACAGTATTTAAGGACACAGGATTAAAGGCAAGCAAACTCGTGTAGAAACCTTGGCTCTGCTTCTGAGAGATCCTAGGCAGGCAACCATCCCTCCATGTGCCTAAATCCCCTCATTTACAAAGTGAAGGTCATAGCACCTGCTGCAGTGACTTCGGACACCAACTACCTAGTTAGACCAAACTTCATAGGTTAAGACTGCCCTCACTTCAGACACCAGCCATGGATTGGGGGTTCCCAGGGCCACTCTCCCTTCTGACCAACTGGCTACAAATTCAGAGGTTTCCTCTCTCCCCTCAGGTTTGAGGCTTTTAGCCTCTTGATATCATTGCAGAGAGGAGAGGGGAGCTAGAAGGAGGGCTCCGTCACCTGTGATTCAGTCCGTCATGGTTTGATCAATCAGTGCAGCGTGTGTCATGACACTCCGGAGTTGTGGGAGCCTCCCTGGCTGACACGACCCATGTGCGTTGTTCCACATCAGTGTGCCGAGAGGGTGGTGTGTCCTGATCCCTCAGAGAGAGGAAATCAAAGCTTCACATTTGGGACCCTCCCAGACCTCACCCTGGCTGTCTCTTCCTTTGGCTGGTTCTAATTTGTATTCCTTTCAGTACAGTACAACAGTGACTGTCAGGACAGTGCTTTCCTGGGTCCTGTGAGTCGTTCTGGCAGAGTATTAAATCTGAGGGAGGGGTGTACGTGTGTATGTATGCACGCACACACTTTACTGGTGAAGGATGTGAAGATGTTTCTCTGTACAGTCTTTTCGGAGTTACCTTGTTTTATCTTTCACAAAGATCTGCAGTACTGGAATAGATTTTTGTGAATAATGTATGAGCCAAGTTCCATGTCTCTTGGGGGGGCTTTCTTTTGTCTTAGTCTATTTGTCCTTGTACCAATTTCAAATTGCTTAAATGGCTGTAACTTTGTAATACTTCTTAAGTTTTCCCATTTTGTTCTTCTTTTTTCAAGTGTCTTAACTATTTTTGGCTTTTTGCATTTCCATGCAAATTTCAGACTCCTTTGTCAAGTTCGATTTTTTTCAACAATTGGATTTTGATCGAGAATGACTTGGATCTATAGATCAGTTAACATTATTATAATATTGAATTGTCCAGTCCTTGAAAGTGGTATATCATTCTGCGTTTTTAGGTACCTATATGCAGAATGACCAATACCTACTGTTCTAGGTACCAGTGCCTGGTTCATAATAGGCAATCAATAATATTTGTGGTTTGAATGAGTGGTCATTGTAAAGATGCATGTGGGCATGTGTGCTGTTTTTGAAAGGTTTAGTGTACAGTTTCTGCAAGTTTATTTTCTTACAGCTTTGTCAAATGGCCATCTTTATGTTTCCAGATGGACTGGTTCAATCGTTATAAAAAGTCCCTTGCTACCTACATGAGGTCATTGGGAGGAGACGAAGGTTTGGACATCACACAAGATATGAAACCTCCAAAAAGCCTATATATAGAAGTAAGTATACCTTTAAAAAAAAATGAGTGTTTCTTTGATGCACAGAGTGTGCTGACTTTTGTCCAAGGGAGTGGGTATATGCCTATATACTACTGTATATAGACACCTTGGTGACACCATAGGTTTGGTTTCTGACTCACAATGAAGCGAATATTCACTCAAACATGTCACACAAATCTTTTGGTTTCCCAGTGCCTGTAAAAGTTATGCTTACACTAGTCTATTGAGTATGTGTTAGCATTATATACATATTTTATTGCTAAAAAATCCTGCCATCTGACAACGCAGGGTTGACACAAATCTTCAGTTTGTAAAAAAAAAAAAAAAATCAATATGAGAAGCACAATAAAGCAAAAAACAAATGAGAGGAAACATAAACCCAAGCCAAAACTTTTACCTGTAGGTGGTGGTGCGAATAGGATTGAACAGCTAAAAATTTTTGGCTGTACCTGCTTTTTAAAAGTTTTAACTTTAGAACCATGTAAGTATTTTACATATTGTTAAAACAAAGTGAAATCAAAGTGAAAATCCAACCCAAAACTCTCTTTGGCAGCTCTTTCAGTTTCCTTGCTGTCGGTGCTGACCTACACATATATTCAGAGATTTGCCATTTTTCCTCCTCCCCATCAGTGGACATTGGAACTAATGGCCACTGGAACCTCTAATATGCCTCAGTAAGGAACACTAAGCCTAACTACACAGAGAAGAAGCTCACAGAGCCTGATACTTCCCTGTAGGTACATGTACAGCCCCCAGCTACTTGACGGTTACTTCATAATAAAAAATAATTTAGATGTTATAAAACATCAGTTTTTCTTTTCAGGTGCGGTGTCTAAAAGACTACGGAGAATTTGAAGTTGAGGATGGTACTTCAGTGCTATTAAAAAAAAATAGCCAGGTATTTACTGTCTTAGGATACTTTAAATTTTGTAAGAGTGCTGAATGATGGAGATGTTGGAGTCAGTAGCTAAATAAATATCACCTTGCCATGATCATTTGTGTCATAGGCATTAAGTTTATCATAAAATATCCTTTTATTCTTTTTCTAAAGACTTGAAGCAAATGTTGCATATAGTAAGAAAGGGCTGATACCGTTGACCCTTAAACATCATGTAGAGATTATGGGTGCAGTCAGACTGCCTGCTCCCCACAGGCTCTAGGTGCACGGGCTTCCATTGTGGCAGCACGCAGGTTTGGTAGTTGTGGGGAGTGGGCTCTGTGGCATGTGGACCCTAGGGTTTGTGGGCAGAAGCCTTCCTCTTGATGAGACTTTTGTCTCTCAGTATCACTCTATAAAACTGGGGTAACTTAAAAGCATCAGCTACTGTCGTGGACATTAAGAGGCTTCTAACATGCCTGAGCACATCAGAAATAAGTTTTCTATAAAATCTGTGTTATAGATCACCCACGTAATGTGAAATATTAATAGGGAAACATTTTCCAACCACACAGTCCTTTATTCTTGACTCTACAGGGCATGTTTCTCATTGCCCAGAAATGAGAACAAGTGTCTTTAGTAGACATTAGAATAACTGTTCAATGAACAACTCCATCGTTTTTTTTCCTTTTTTTTTTTTACATTTCATAGTTGTAAGACTTAATTCAGTTAAGTCAGACATCAGTCCTTGGCCCATGGGTCTTCATGACTGGTGGGCAGGAGTTTCTTTGGTTGTGGGTCCCACGCGAGGCCTTGAGTTTGTGAAAGACTGTCAGGTGCACGGTGCTGCTGAAGTGGCTTCTGGTTCCTTGAGTGCTTGCCGCGCTCTCTCCTTCAGTTCACCTTCTAGAGTTCTCTGCGCTGCACTTCGTAATGCAGTTTTTCATTTTTACTCAAGTGTCTATGTCTGTCTAGTCTTTGAGATTCCTTTGGTCACCTGTGAGCTTGAAAAGTCTTCCTGCCTGACTGCCTGCACCTGCCCACTCCAGAATTTAGTAAATGTTCCCTTCTGTGTTAAGCCTTGCTGTTTGGGAGGGAATGAAACCAGGAGATGCCGTTCCACCTCAGAATGAGAGCAGTGTGCTCTCTGGAGACATGGAGGATGAGCCTTAGCTGGGCACCACCTTCCTCACACACAGCAGATGGCCAGCATCCATGAGTTACGAAGACTTTTCATCCTTGAAAAATCCAGGGGAAGAGTTGCACTCTTAGTAGTGGAATGACTGTTCAGACATAGATCCTTGAAGAGGTTTAGTGGAGAAGACACTCCTTCCATTTGCCTTCTTGGTGAACTGTTACCACATCCCTATGGTCTGTGGCCCAGATCACCTACCTGGCTTTCCTGTGCATAAATCTAAAAATGCAAACACTGAGGAAAATACCTACTAGAATTCAGAAGTCTTTAGTTTAAATTTAACTTAGCAAAGTATGAATTTGTTTAAAAAAATTCAGATTTTAGTACAGCTCTAAGTAACATCAATTTCAATTGATGAAAATAGCAAATATACTTAAGCTTAGCTTTTAACTACTTCACTGGTGCAGTTTGAAATATTCAGCATTCATTGCTGCTTTTTAATGACACATGTAACTTGAAATAATGCTCTTCACTCCTCTCTCTTCCCCCCCTCCCCTCAGCACTTTTTACCTCGGTGGAAGTGCGAGCAGCTGATTAGACAAGGCATTCTGGAGCACGTGCTGTCATGACCCCTGGCCAGATGGCTGCTGAGACTCCCTCCTGGTGTGAGACTGCACCCAACCAAGGTCACTTCTCCACCTCCCCAAGGCCCACTGCTTTTTGGTTCTAAAATTGAGACATTCTTTAACCAGGAATGCTTGGTGGAGGAGTTTTTGTTTTTTTCTTTTCATTTGGATGTTAGTTTCTCTTTTATTTCATTTCTGAATATAATTCCATTACCTTCCATGGTAAACATATTTGTGAATCTATGTTGTATGTTTGTACTTTGAAGTATTGGTTCTCAAAAGAGAATTTGCACTCTGGCCGTACAGAGACTCCACAGACATCCACCCTGCTGTCCACAGCTCCAGAGCGAAGTCTACGATCAGGGTTCTAGCAGATGCTGTGCCTAAGAGAATGCTTCCCAGCTCGTATACTGCCATCTTCTCATTCTGTCTTCACAATATGCGAGAGGTTTGATTTTCTATTGTCCAGGATTCTACCCTTTGTGTAGTAAGTTGTATCTGTAATCATAACGTTTCTACAATTCCCAAAATACTGTCACGTGTTTTAGTTTCATGAAAGTAAACATTCGTTACATGTTCATCTCTTTTAAACCTTGAGGGAGAGTCTCACCTGGATGTACAGGGAGGTCTTATGTCCCTGGGCCTCTTGTACTGTTGCTGGAAGTGTGCCTGTGCAAGCCAGGGAGCTGACTTTCTGAAGTCTGTGTTTCCAGATCACACGGGCAGGTGGAGCTGGTGGTCTTTAAAGCACACAATGGATTTTGCCCATTGCCAGCAGTGGTGGCTGGTCTTGCTCGTGCCTGTCTGGAAGCCTGTGTCGCAGGATATCCATTTTGGAAAGGGAAGTTGAGATTGGGGCTAGGAAAGGAATTTTGTGCAGTTTCCCCCCAAGAGTCACGTTGACCAGGAAGTCACATGAAGAGCTGATCGGCTAAGTGGAGGGCAATTTCTACTGCCCAATAAAATGATAGGCGGAGAGGCACCAGGTGGTACCTGCTGGTCAATGGCCTTTCTCCACCAGTCCCCTCCATGACCAGCCCAGTAATCTCAGAGACATTCAAGTTTAAAATACAGATAAGCCCAGTACCTGGCACTCTCTGCAGTATATTTCTTAAACGGGAATATTTCTGGCCAAAATTCTACTCAAGTAGTCAAGCTATGAGAGCCTCTACCTAAGTGTGGATCTGCATATTTTCACAACACACGTATTAATACTTAGTCACCAAGTGGCTCTTGGCAGATTCTTTTCCAGGCTGTGCGGTTCATAGGATCTGTTTCCCGACCAGAGAATGAACCTGTGCCCTGGGCATTGAAAGCACAGAGCCCTAAAATAATTCCTTTGATAGATTCATAGCCAGATCAGATTTTCATCTGAATCTCTGCCAATAAACAATAAGGAAAATTTCCCTAGTGAATGGGATGGATGATGTGTTAACTGTAGGTCAGTGGTCACTTCCCTTGCATTCTGTTCTTCCAAGCATGTGGAACCACATGCAGGTGAGCCCAGAGTCCACGTGAGTCAGCTGTGAGGAGGAACCTGTGGTAGAGGCCACTGCCCTGTTGCCAGCCCAGCATCATTTTTGTATATAAACCATATGATGTACTTTTCTGATTCATTCCCAAAATAAAATAATTATGTTTCTTACTTGAAGTAAATGTATACTGGTTGAAAAATTAAAGTTTTGTAGGTTTTATTGATTTATGTTGATTGGTCCTATAGAGTTGTGGCTAGAATTTTTAAATGCATGTTTTTTTATTTAAGGGTAATAAGTGCATAATTAAAAAGATGAAAGAAAACATACAATGTAGAAAATGAAAGTAACTTCCTATTTTACCTACTGAATGGCACCATCCAGTGTGCCCAGTGTTAACTGATTACAGATATAAAGTACATTCCCATTTCAGGTGTTTTTCCAATGAAATACTTTCCAGTTTTTATTCCTCATGTGAATGGAATCTTTTCTGTTATATTTTATAACAGGTTTTGGATGATAAATATTAAAAAGCAGTAAATTATGATGACTTGGCCATTTCCTATATAAAGTCATTTCTTTTTCACATTGATTTTGTCATCTGGAACTTTCAGAAAAATGTTGACTACTGCTGGTAATAGCTGGCAGCTTATCCTTTTCCTAACTCGACCTGAATGACACCGTCTTCTTCATCTCTCCACCCCATACTTCTCCAGGAAAAACTCACAAGACTTGTGGCCTTCCTCAGTGTAACCTGAAACTTCAAAATACATTTAAAACCATAGTAAAAAAAAAAATAGTAAAATGGTGGTAATTAACAAACATGATTTTTTCCAAGTGCATTTTTGGAACTTGAGTGATGATCATATATGGTTTCTCACTTAACTCCCTAAAGTTATGGATTACATATATGTAACTGTTGCACCATCTTACATTCCATTTGTAATTCTTTTTGGCCATGGTGTGTTAACCATTCATTGAACTGCAAGATTTGATTTGCTGTTATTTTATTGTGAAATTTGGCAACTTTGAGTGATGCTCTTTTATAGTGCTTAGCAAGAGGGGATGGATGTGTATGTATTTACACATGTGTCTGCTTTGTTGGTGTTTTCAGCCATCTGTTCTTACGAAACAGCTATCCAAACACAATGGCTTTAAACCACACCACTCTTGACTTTCGCAGTTCTGCAGCTTTGCTGGGCTCAGCTGGGAGGTTCTGCAGCTCTTGCTTGGGGTCCCTGATGGAGTTGCATTCCTCTGGTGACCTGACTCGTGTGGCTTGGCCTCTGGTCTCCGTGTGGGCCTCTTGCTAGGTTCTATCCAGTGAGCTGATTGGGCTTCTTACCTGGCAGCTTGGGACCCTGCAAGGTTAAGAAGGTGGATGTGTGTGCTGCTAGTTTTCTGAACGACTAGGCCTGGTAGTGAACTAGCACCGTTTTCTGCCAAATTCAGTCAACTAATACAGCCCCAGGTGCTCAGAGTCAATGAAGAGGCCACATGAAGCATGTAAAGGCAGGACAGCAAGAGGCCCCACAGTCAGATGGGGTGTCCGGGTTCTGGTGTCAGTTTTTAGGGGTGCACGTTCCTTTATCTATTTTTCACAGAAATGTACCTTTTAAAAATAGCATTAATACTTATATAACTAACTCAGTATGAATCTTCTTTGGAGAGATACTTGATGAATTTTTTCTTTTCTTTAGTTTGAAGTCAAACTTTTCTACTTTTTCTTAAGTAAATTTCAGTCAGTCTTTTTTTCTAAGCTTTTTTAATCTATATTTGGAAATGTATCACGGAATTTTTTTTTCTTTTCACTACATATGATTATCCCTAATATGTGTCTGTCTTTCCTTTTTGGTCTTAGTCCTATAACCAGAAGAAGTGTCTCTAATGATACTGTATTAATGCTTTAGGATGTAGTGGAAGGAGGTGCTAATTTCACATGGTCTATTGCTTTTCACAATTGATGGTATTTTAGGATGAGTCGAATTCATTCTGTTTTGTAACTTTACAAAAACAATGTTTTCATCTAGTACAAAATGCAGTAACAAAGAAGGTAGCCATCTACAAAGTCAAAGAAAGAGGCCTCAGGAAAAACAAACCTGCTAATAAGTTTGATCTTGGATTTCTAGCCTCCAGAATTGTAAGAAAATAAATTTATTTTGTTTCAGTCACCCTTGTAATATTCTGTTTTGGCAGCCTCTGCAAACTAATAGAGGGCGTTTAGTATCTTTTTTTTTTTAATGTATTTCCCTAATTGAGAGACACTTGAACAGTTTCCATCCTTTTGCTGTTATAGACAGAGCTATATGGGTAACCTTGTACATACATCATTTTACACATACACAGCTTGGTGTGTAGAATAATTGTAAGTTTGATGGGATTTGTAATTTTTATAGGAATTATAATTTGTACTACACCAGAAATTATGAGAGTCACTCCCCCTCACCTTTGCCAACAGTGTGTTATTTCAACTTGGGGCTCTTACAGAAAAGATGCCAGGAACGTTGATGTACAAGTCTGTTACGGATGCGTATTTCTTTTCCTTTGGGCAGATAACTAGGAGTAAAATGGCTAGGTCTTCAAGTAGGTGTGATTTTAACTTTTGAAGAAACTTCCAAACTCCACCAAGGTGGTTGTGCATTTGCATTCACACCAGCAGTGTATGAGTTTGAGTTCTTCTACATCCACTCCAATACTTGGTATGATTAGCCTTTTAAATTTTACCCATTCTAATCAGAGTGTAGTGCTGTATCACTGAGATTTTAATTTGTATTAAAATCAAAATAAAGAGATGGGAATACCAGACCACCTGACCTGCCTCCTGAGAAATCTGTATGCAGGTCAGGAAGCAACAGTTAGAACTGGACGTGGAACAACGGGGACTGGTTCCAAATCTGGAAAGAAGTACATCAAGACTATATATTGTCACCCTGCTTATATAACTTACATGCAGAGTACATCATGAGAAACACTAGTCTGGAAGAAGCACAAGTTGGAATCAAGATTGCTGGGAGAAATATCAATAACCTCAGATATGCAGATGACACTACCCTTATGGCAGAAAGCAAAGAAGAACTAAAGAGCCTCTTGATGAAAGTGAAAGAGGAGAGTGAAAAAGTTGGCTTAAAACTCAACGTTCAGAAAACTAAGATCATGGCATCCAGTCCCAACACTTCATGGCAAATAGATGGGGGAAGCCATGGAAAAACAGTGACAGACTATTTTTGGGGGCTCCAAAATCACAGCAGATGGTGACTGCAGCCATGAAATTAAAAGATGCTTGCTCCTTGGAAGAAAAGCTAGACAGCATATTAAAAAGCAGAGACATTACTTTGCTAACAAAGGTCCGTGTAGTCAAAGCTATGGTTTCTCCAGTAATGTACGGATGTGAGAGTTGGACTATAAATAAAGCTGAGCGCCAAAAGATTGATGCTTTTAAACTGTGGTATTGGAGAAGACTCTTAAGAGTCCCTTGGACTGCAAGGAGATCCAACCAGGCCATCCTATAGGAAATCAGTCCTGACTATTCAT